CACTCTAGTGGAAATTCAGGATTTTTTTTATATATTTCCTTGTACAATTAAGAACTTAAAACTTGTATACTATTAAAATATGGATTATTAGCTAAGATTTTATGCTATTCTAATTGGTATAACATAAACAAAAAGTAGTTTAATAAAATTTTGAATGTAAGACACTAAAACCTTGTGTCATGCACAGTAAAGGGTACCCAGGGAGAGAGGGTTAACAAAAAATATAGAGTAAATATAACTGTATACCTGTATAGAAATGAATAAAAACCCTATAATCCAAGCACTTTCGAAAGGTGGACCCTTCTTTTTCAGGGGCAACCTGAGAATGGTGGTGTAATCAAATAAGTGATATATTTCAAAAGGAGTTTAGTGATGTCATGAAGGTCATCCAGTTTTCTAGGAAATGTTTAGTACATAGAGAAATAGACTAAACTTTTATGGGTCATATTGAAAACCAGCTTTTACAACTAAACCCTGTAAAACCTCATACATGGAAACATTACATAGATGAAATTTTTTCATTTAGACAGCCGGTTTTAAATCACTTAAAGAATTTATCTCTGTCATGCAAACTTCTTTCACAAAACAACCAAGTTCACCTGTGATTACTCGCCTACACAGATTAACTTTCTTGACATCACCGTTTTTCTAAAAGATGAAGTTTTACACACTGACCTGTACAAAAAAACCTACAGACAGACCTTCACTGTAAAAGCTGTCACCCTTCTCACACTAAACGAAACATTGCCTACAGTCAAGCTCTTAGAATAAAGAAAATATGCTCAGATGAAACAGACTACAGAAAACACACCAAAGATCTAAAACAGACCATGTTACAAAGAGGATATAAAGATGCCAAAATTGACAGACAGATCGAAAAGGCTAACAACAGTCAATGGAAAAACATCCTCAAACAGAATAATACTTCCAATAATAATCTTCCAAGCAATGTCCTAATAATATTAACCAAAATGAAAGAATTGCTCTAAACAATCTTAAATCGAACAATAATATCATAATATAGCCAGCAGACAATGGTGGGACTATTGTTATTCTTAACAAAGATGACTGTATCAAGGAAACTAACCGGCAACTAGAGGACACAAATTTCTACAAAAAACTCTCACATGAGATATTTCCTCAAGTTCCCGTTGTCTCCTTCTGAAAAAGCAGAACTCTAAAAGATATCCTTGTTCACACAAAAGTGAATTACATCCCACCCAAAAATGTTTGTCATCCATGTAATTAGGCCCGTTGTCAAACCTGCAAGTTCATAAAAACCACTGACTCATTTTCTGACAAGCACAATCAAAGAAACTTTAAAATATCCAAAGAAACTACTTGTGAAACAAAAAACACCATTTACCTTTTACAGTGTAAAAAATGCAATTACCAATATTTAGGACATACACAAACAACTCTTAGAAAACGTTTCAACAACCATAAATCTTTTATTTACACCTGAAAAATATCTCCCTGTTGCTCAACACTTTAACCATCCTGGTCATTCCATTAACGATGTTACTCTCATCAGC